TTACAATTTTCACTGTTGAAAATTACTCAGCTGGGTTGATATTTCATAAGATATGAATGTAAATGGATTTCGTAAGAAACATGTCAATATCACTCTTGGAGCACTTTATGGAGGTAGCGTTGCAACATACAACTGATGGTCGAGAATAGATACATGCGAAGTTGGGGGCTTTTAGAAGTTTCGAACTTATATCCCTCCAGAATATCGGAAGCTTCAATAACGGTGTAGGACGAAGTCACCCATGCCATATCTGTTTTCGGTGGAGTATCTGCAGGAAGCTGAAAAAGGTGTAAGAGAAAGGAAGGACGAAAAGCAGAGCACACAATATTCATGGAGGAATAGTTAAGGTATAACCATTTAGTCTATTTGTCTGTTACTGAAGTACTTATTATATTCGAGAATGGAAATTCATCAAGCATTCCTTGAAACGCAAGAACATACTGACCCAACAGATGACGCGACTAGCCAAGAAAGATGAAAACTCTAGACCCCGGCTAATGAAGATAACCTTCCCCTCTTCCCATATAGCGGCTGTAGCTCTGTAAGCATTTCGTGCCAATAGACTACGGTTGCCAACTGGCATCCATATGCATCAGGATAGGCCACACGACAACAAGATAAAGCACAAACGCAAGCTGGAGCTGACAATTCCACTTGTGGATTGTCTTGATCATAAAAAACGTGTAAAGGACAGAGACTACCAACTCGGAAAACATTGTATAGGTAGGCTGCCTGTCCACTCACGTAAGACTCATATAGACACACAGGAAGAAACTTATGCTTTCCAAGTTGAAAGCATAAGCTGCTTATACATGAGCGCCGCGAGTTTGCCAAAAAAAATGGATGGGCTACGTGAACTTAGCAAAGCTAATGATGTTCATCTGATAGAAATATCCGAAACCTGGATATCGTCTCAGTTTACGGACCAGGAGTTAGCAGTACCTGGAATGTCTTTGTTTCGCAACGACAGGAAAATTGGAATGGGGGGTGGGGTAGCATTATACGTACGGTCATGCCTGGAGACGAACCAACTTCACAACCAATAGTTTCTCCATCTTGATGAGTCAGTATGGTGCTCAGTAAGATTGTCTACCACCACGAGGTGTCTAGTCGGGGTCATCTACAGGAAGCTCTCTGCTGACATCGGGCAAGACAATCGTTTGCTGGAAGGATTAACTCTCTCTGCGCGTCTCGGATTTTCTCATATCCTGATTCTAGGGGACTTCAGTCTTCCTAGAATCAACTTCGTGAAACATACCTAGATTGGAGGTGACAACTCCATTGAATATCGGTTCTTCAACCTCATTGATGATCTGGGATTATTCGAAAATGTGAAGTTGGAGAAACAGTCAGACGCTGTCGCGCTAAGACTGGGTATTCACAAGTGAAGAATTCCTAGTCGACGACCCCTCAACTCTGGCTCCCCTGGGGTAAAGTGATCACGCTGTCCTATCCTTCAGCTTTGTCAGCAAAACTGAGCTAAGATATTCCACCAATAACAGACGCTGGAATTTCAAACGGTTGAATGTGTTAGCTTTACATGACTATCTACAACAGGTGGATTGGGATGTTCACCCTCAAATTGAAGTGGATGCTCATTGGGATTTCTAACTGCACACGCTCTTATGTGCTTCTAAGCATTCAGTTCCTCAAACGGTCCCAAAAAGCTACAAACAACCTACCATCATCAAGAACCGCACTTTTCGTTTGCTAAGCCACAAAAGGCACTGTTGGGCCGAATATAAACGAACTGATAACAACGGCGCGTACAGGCAATACAAACATATAGGAAACATATGCGCAAAGGCAATAAGAGAAGACAGGCTTCAGTACCAGACCAAGCTTATCGATAAATTTGTCTCCAATCCGAAAGGCTTATTCCGTTACGCAGCTTGTCTTCTACAAGGCAAAACTGGAGTTTCCCAACTGCTTGGTCCTAATGGTCCGACCAACAACGACGGTGATGCTGCTAATCTTTTGGCTGAACAATACTCTTAGACATTTCAGCCGACCCACATCAACTATACTGACGAAAGCTTCACCTGCACCTGTACAGGACTTTCCGAAGTGGACCTGAGTGTTGACCTAGTGCTCTGTAAACTGCAGCACATAAAAAAAGAAACTTCTCCCGGTCCGGATATGGTCCATTCTGCTATACCGAGGGAAGCAGCTTCAATCCTGGCAACACCACTTAGCGTAATGTTTTCACACTCGCTAAGCCGAGGCAAACTTTTCAAAGGAGATCGATGCAGTGAACCCTCAAGTTACCGACCAGTGGCCCTTCTCTCCATACCTTCTAAAATTATGGAGTCCATAATATACGACAGTATACACGAATACTTATTATCCCTAAAGTTCTTCTCACCCCAATAGCATGGCTTCGGAAAGGGTCATTCTTGTATGATCAACCTGCTGACTGCGGTGGATAGATGGACAACCATCCTTGATCGCAAGGGGAAGGTTGACGTCATTCACCTTGATTTCTCAAAAGCTCTTGATAGGGTCAACCATATATGTCTTATCAATAAGCTTAGACGATTGGGTATCAAACCACCTCTGATTGACTGGCTCGCCTCATATCTAGAGAACTGACATTTTAAGGTCGGGGTTAACTTCACTCTCTCTCAAGCTATGGAATGTCCTAGTGGGGTCCCCCAGGGCTCAATACTAGGATCTCTTCTCTTCTTGATTTATATTAACGATCTTCCTCAACAAGTTTCATTTGACTCATTGCTTTTTGCTGATGATACGAAACTTTGGAGGGAGATGCGTAACCAAAAGCACTTCAGAAGGATCTGATGGCTTCGAAGCCGGACAGACCACAACGGACTTACCTTCAGCACTTCAAATTGCAATGTGGTCCATCTGAGGCATCTTGCAGACTATAGTTACAACTTAGGAAACTCCTCTCTAGAAGCTTCCTAAGTCAAAAAAGGTTTAGGAGTGTTGATACCCTATGACCTGAAGTCGTATGCGAACTGTGACAAAAACACATTTCAAGCAAACCTTGCACTGATAACATTAGAGCGCATTTTTGGCCAGTTTGACGGTAGAACCTTCCACATAGTATTTCCAACATAGTGTTTCCTCCCACCCTCCAAAAGGATAAGGACACTCTGGGATGTATCCAACGTCGAGCCACGAAATCAGATCGCGGAATCAAATTCAAACTATACGAAGAGCGCCTCCAATCACTTAACCTTTACCCGTTAGAGTACAGGCGTCTTAGAGGTGACCTTCTTATGACTTACAGTATCCTTAATACTTCTGGTCATCCCCTTAAACATCTACTCAAGCTTATTCACAACACTAATCTGAGGGGTAGCACCCAGAAACTGGAGACCCAACATAGCAGAACAGACTGTAGACACAACTTCTACTCCGTTAGAGTTGTCAAATGCTGGAATTCGCTGCCAACTGAGCTAGTCCAAGCGACTTCTCAGGAATCCTTTAAGAGGAAACTTGACCTATTCTCAAGGACTAAGGATAACATATTATTATGATTTGCCAATTTCTTTTTTCCTCTATTATCGTTAATATACCTAGGTTCTTGCCTGGAGGTATGGGTGATCCACTGCTACTAGACACGGAAGCCCGTTAAGCAAAAGCTTATTCTATTCCGTCCTCAACCATTTGAAGGAAAATGCAGTTAGCAATCTGCAATTGACGAAGGCGCATCTTCATATTAAGCGTTACACATTTCCAGTCGTTGTTAGCCTCCTGGGTTGTTAAGCCTTACTACAGACCATGTGCCTAATAAGTCATCAGTTTAATCGTCCTATGGTATTTTTTCCAGATCCTTCGACGACTGAATGTTGTGAGTTACATATGCTCATCATCTTGAAAAGCATATGGTTCATTCGATCAGTTATGAATCTGAAGATCAAACCGATAGACCAATATGCCAGCGCTGTTCAAAGTCATTTAAATCCCACCTTACACTGAAACATCATACTGAAGGTATGTACTAACTAATGCTAGATAAAGATTTTATAATCTTATTGTTTCTACATGTCTCAGCCCTAAACATTTATAATAAGCTCCTTTAAGCTTCATCTTGAGAAGATTTAGTCAGTGCACTCAAGACCATTAGGTATAGGCATGATTTTAGGCGTTTCAAGGCCGACATAGCAGCTGTTACCCTTTGTTGATGAAAATAAAAGTCCAGGTCGTCATGGACATTTTATCATAGAGATACGAAATTTCTTTGAAAGACGAGCTAGGTGTTATTACTGTGGGTTCTGGGAATATTCAGTAACTCATGCCGCTGCTTTAGACGAAATTCCAGAGACAATCTCTGGCGAGACTATAATTTGTGGACGACTTTTTTTAGAATGTCCATCTACTTAATGGGACGAAATAAGGACTATAAATTAATGTGAGGAAACAGTATTTAACTTTCAGATGGACACTAGGGCCAGTAATTTAATCAAGGTATCCTTATCACGTCAGTTACTCATCTACAGCGTAGGACCAGAGATATTTACGCATCAGTCCAAGTTACCACACCTCAGCACAACGAGATGATCACCAAATTCATAGAAGTAGTTACTTCAATGGTAGTAACGTGTAAAAGTTTGTGTAAAAGTATATAACACAGGGAGAAATAATTAGTTCGTAGAAAGAAAGGTATAAAGTAATTTTAATCTCACGGTTTAAGGGAGAACATTGTACACACCCACACCATTGTGATCGATTCTGATCCATGTCACACAGAGTCTCCAACTATTGGTTACGATAGTCAAGCGGAATCCAACCAAGTAGTCTGCATCTACCGACATGTCTAAGACCAGAATTCAGTGATGCCACGTTCTTTCTTCCAACCATCTCCAACACTAGTCAGCATTGCGCGTCGTTGTAATCGGTGTTCAGGCATACGTAACGCGTGGCCCAACCATCTCAGTCGGTGAGAATTTACAACCTAATCAACTGATTTACCATCATTCCCTAATAGTCTGCGTCTAACCTCACTATTACTTACCTGGTGATCCCAGCAGATGCGAGCAATATTTCTAAGGCATCTATGAGCAAATACTAGTAACTTATAAGTATCTCCTACTCTTAGCGACTACGTTTCACAACCCTTAAGTAAAGCAGAACGAAATGCTGTTCAGTATACTCGTCCATTAGTTGACAAACGAATATTTTGCCTTCTTAATAGGTGGCATACCCGCTATGAACTTCCGTTGTCGAACCTGTATTGGATCTAGCAATGTAACTCAAATAACCCTAAGGTCGTTACTCACAGAGCTTAGGTGAAGCGGTAGGTAATAATCTAGCACAACTTATGTATCTCTCTTCCAGTTACGAACTAACCATCAACCTTTGAATATACTCACGGTGAATGCAGTTCCATAGTAGCTAGTTTAGTGTGTATAGGTATGATTACCATTCCAATGTTCGTAGTGAATAGGTTTTCTTATTTTGGGGATGACCATCTATGAAAGTTTTGAAGTCTTGGTGAGATACTTTCTCACTAGTCAAAGCACCAGATTTTAAACTGACGGACTAGAGACTCAAATCTTTTAAGATAACTAACATTTCTATTTCCCATAAAATGGGCGGTCTAAAAGTCTAGTGCCTGTAAACGTGATTGCTTTGACTTAAAGCGGCTACAAAACAATGACATATGTATTACATTGTATATTTTATTAGGCGGAAATCGTAAATTTGTAAAAGCTTAGTATGTATATATATATATATATATTACTGTGACTTTCATATGATAGTTTCTAACTAAAATTTTCTGTCTCGGTAATCGTTGATATCCAATAATGAGAGTTTATGAATGACATTTTCATCACACATTTTAGTAAAATTTCAAACGTCACCAGTTAAAAACGCTTAAAAGATATCTTTAGTGAATTAGTGCACTATTTTTACTGGTTATTTCGCAATATGGTGTGAATTTTTCAGTAAAAACCACCATACCACGCACTTGAATTTTATCTGTCTTTTGTTCATCTAAATTTTAGAAGATTAGTGTTTGGTCATGGAAATTGTCTTTCGTGATATCAGATTATTTTTTGACTCCAACGATTAGTCCCAGTAAAGATAAGACTCAGAACTCATTGGTGATAGCAATCTTTTATATTAGACTTGTAAGTTGCTAGTTCGTTCACACGAATGTGAACGTGTCACTGAATTTTACTGTATGAATGGTGCTTTTGCGTTTTCTGTTTTGGTTGCATTTTTTCCTGCACATAAGACTCAAAAAGCTTTAGCTTTGGAACTTTCAGTTAGTTTTCGTAATTACACGGGTTAAAGCTGTCTGCAACATAAGCTGTTGAGAAGTATTTGGAAGAAAATACTAAATTTTACTGTCAGTCTGCTCATCATAAAAAGCTTAGAAAGTGATGTCTTAATGGGAATGTTTTTCTGTGATCATAGTGTACCTATTGTTTTACTGTAATTTTTCCATTTAGTCTGTTCTAATCGTAATTCGGAGCCAAGGTTCTGCTGTGAGATATGTCGAAAGAAATTCAGGACTGATATTCAGTACACCCGTCACATCTATTACACTCATTCACAACGTACATTTCTGTGTAAAGAAAAAAGTGAGTTTGCATCAATGCGTTTTAGTGTGTTCTTTATTGTTTGTCTCAAAAAGGCTGTATAACAACGTCTGTTTTGCAACTCGAACTGATGTACGTACGTACGAAGTTCTAGCCCCCAAATTCCCTGGTACGGACGAGAGTGGGGAGAGTCACCTCTCGAAATACTCTCATATGGCCACGCGAATATATAGCCTCTGCCAGCGAAGTCCTACTCACTGCCTTCTCGTGGCGGGGGTGTTGTTCACAAAAGTGAGAGGACGAAAAGCGAATGTCCGGAGCTTTAACCGGGTTGGTGGACACGGAAAACCCACATAGGGGAGTTGGAAAACCCTGATTCCAAGCCAATGGTGCACATGGGCTCCAGCATCCTGATGGAACGAATGGCGAATGAACCTGCTGTTGGTCATCGGCTACCATGGGACTGCATCTCCTCACGATGCTCCACTGCCTTGTGGATTAGACCTTTAGGTCAAAGGCTCGGGGTGTGGCCCCCTAAGAAAAGCACCTGCTTCAGTCTGGGCACCTGAGCAGTATCCTAGCCCTCACACAAATCGGATGAGATTTGTGAGGCGCATATTTATCTGGTGCTTCCTTGTACCAATATTTATGTGTTTAAATAAATAAACGAAGTTCTACGTTGTGACTGACTGACTTTATTTTTATTTATTTAAACACATAAATATTGGTACAAGAAAGCACCAGATATATATGCGCCGCACAAATCTCATTCGATTTGTGTGAGGGCTGGGATACTGCTCAGGTGCCCAAACTGAAGTAGGTGGTTTTCTTAGGGGGCCACACCCGGAGCCTTTGACCTAAAGGTCTAATCCACAAGGCAGTGGAGCATCGTGAGGAGATGCAGTCCCATGGTAGCCGGTGATCAACGATTGATTCATACACCATTTGTTCCCTCAGGATACTGGAACCCATGTACACCATTGGCTTGGAATCAGGGTTTTCCAACTCCCCTAGGTGAGTTTTCCGTGTCCACCAACCCGGTTAAAGCTCCGGACATTCGCTTTTCGTCCTCTCACTTTTGTGAACAATACCCCTGCCACGAGGAGGCAGTAAGTAGGACTTTCCTGGCAGAAGCTATATACTCGTGGCCATGGGAGAGCGGACTCTCCCCACTCTCGGCCGTACCAGAGCATTTGGGGGCACTGACTGACTGTTTTGCAAGCAAACAGTCATTTGATTAAACAACAAATAAAGTGAACTATCATGTTTTCAAAGTGTATATTCTTTCGAATGTTCATAGTTGTATTTATCCGAAGTGTTAAGGGTCTATGAAATAGTTGGATAACTTGCGACTCAAATATTTTGAAGTAATACATTATATCCGATCATTATAGGCATATATTTTGTCCTTAGAGATCTTGTATATGACAGACATTGGACTGTTAAGTGACTTTGCTTATATGGTAAATAGACTTTGAAATGTGTAAACAATATTTCCAACGTGTCCAAAACGGACTTCGCATACTTTAAATGATTCACAACTTATACTAACCTATTTTTATTTCAGTATCAGCAAATAAAGTGACAGGACGAGTTTATCAATTTTTGAAAAAAATAATTCTATTCAGCTTGTTGGATGAATGTTTGATAAAATTCCCATGCAGAAATAAAAGACTACTTTGTTTTTTCCCTATCCACCTAGTTTTTATACCAAATATGTCTTTGTGGTATTTAACGGTGGTAACGCATGACTGTTAACAGTGAAGGATATTAAATTCTTTGCTCTTAATTCTTTAAACAATATTGCAAGAATGCTTGGGATTCATTTCTCTGCTGAATCCAATAGGTTACTTCCGTCTGACGTTTTCCAAGGACATTTTAATACTGTATATATACTCCTGAGTTGTGGAATATGCATTTCTCTCGTTTACTTGTGGTCTTCTCCCTCGAGTTAGCAGGGCTGGCACGCAGTGAATAGTTTAGCTTATGCGGTTGTTGTGTCTCTGACTTTTGTTCTGTTCTCCGGTCTAGGTGGGATTGTAGTCTCCTTTTAAACACAGCAAATGTAGTCATCCGTTAACCTCAATTGGAGTTATCTTAAAGCTTAACAAAAACTCAAAATACTTTGCTTGACTGTAAATCTTACTTAGCTATGCATATCGGCTCTCTATATGACTGTTGTTGGGTAGTCCACTGTGTTTGCATTGTCAATCATGAGTTCGTAATTAAACTTCAATGTGTACATTTTTAATTGCTATAGTTTTTAGACTGCCACTTTTATGTGTTTGAACAACGCTATCTAATGTGGCTATTTGGTGCTTCTGTTGTGTGGTCTACTTATATCCATATAAGTAGTATATGGTGTTGGTCAGACATAGAATGTATTTTCGCAGAAGACCGATGAGGAAAGAACTGAAACAAAGCGCAATCGGTAGGAAAATGCACGAACAATGGAATTGGAGAAGAAACAGTGAAGATTGAGACTGTTGGTTGTTAATTTGCAAATTAACTGTCCATTGTATGGTTTTCAGAATTTACTGAGATAGTCTGTAATGTTTGCTTAAATACTTCGATTGTCCCCAGTCGTGTTCTGTTCACTACACCTCATGTATATTTAGTCATATTTATTTATGATATATACCGTTCGGTAAAGAGATAAAGATCTAAATATAACAGTTTGTCGTGTTCTTGTGCGTTAATGTGTCCTCCATAGTAAATAACAGCTGTTGTAATTTGCTTTTCCTATAACAAATGTTGGTTCTGAAATATCTACTGAATACCTTGTTCTCAGCAGTTGTATTTACTATTCATCCCAATACTTTAGAAGATTGACGTTTAAAACTTTGTTCAATTTCTTCTCTTTGTTCCAAGAGTTTCAATCTTCTCAACTTTCGTACACCTGAATATTTAGTTGTGTAAACTGCATCTTAGTGAAAATGAAAAAAGGAATCGCTCTCTTATTTCTCAGAACTATAGTACCTATTTACTTGGTGAACGTCATCACCTATATGTTAAGAAGTAACGTCGTATGAAAAATATGTATGACATCAGTACAAATGTAGTGTTAGGAATTTATACTGCAACAAACCTTCAACTGTTACATGCAAAAGCTGATAAGTACTGACAGTGTCTTTGAAAATAGAACCTACCAGGTGTTAGTAAGTCAAGAAGTTTCATCTTAGATAAACTGTAATATTTGTGGAACTTTGAAATTACTCTCTGTTAATATAGTTAGGGGCGGCCAAACCAAAACATGGCATGAGTGCTTAAAGTCACTAACCTTTAGTCTGAGCCATGTTGGTAGATCCAGACTACTTGGTTGGGATCCGCGTGACTATCGTAACCAATGGTTGGAGACTCTGGGTGACATGGCTCAGAATCGATCACAATGGTGTAGGTGTATACACTCTTTGTCTTTACTTAAACCGTGAGATTAAAATTGCTTCATATCTGTCTTTTTTCCTGTACTATATCCTTATAAACAATCTTTCTTTTATATATTACCACCACTAAATTAATTACTTCTATGAATTCGGTGTTCATTTTGTTGTGCTAACGAGGTATGGCAACTTGGACCGATGCATATATGTGCTTGGTCCTACGTTGTAGTTGACTTGACTGACCCTGTTAATATCCCTCACTAAAAAAATTATTCCCCATGTAGTTCAAATAGTGCCGAAATATCTATCTACAAAGTTATTAATGAATTCAATATGTTTTTGAAGTTACAGTTTCTACCTGTATGTGTTGCATTTTTGAGTCGTTCAGTGCTACTCTAATATCGGTGTGTAGATAAAAACGATGTGCTCCAAAAAATCTTACCGACCGTCTTTGTAATTTAGATGGGGATTTCTCAGACTCTAGGGAACACCTTAAGTCACCCCCTTATTTGTACTTATTGGAGTGGAGCTGAAGGCATTGGCTTTCAACCATGAAGTTGTAGGTCCGAATATCGTTTCATCTATTTTGGTTTGGCCAGGTAGTCATTATCGCCAGCCTTCATAATGTTGCTGAAAGCTGTACACTGTGAATGAATTAAATTATTAATTGTTAAAAGTGTGGATTTATATTCATATTGTTTTGCATACCATAAAGTTTCAGACTAAATGCATATTTATCTTCATTTCTTTTTAACTCCAGGTTGTGGTAGAGCATTCTTATCAAACTCGCATCTTATAGCTCACATGACAACACATACCTCTGATAGACCTTATTCCTGTTCAGTACAAGGTTGTTCATATCAAGCCCGTACAGCTGGTCGACTTGCACAACACAAAATTATTCACGGTCAAGGTGTGAATATCGTATTTTACATGTCCCTCACCAGTATTTTCGTGTTTATTATAGTTCTTTATGTTATATTTTGTTTAAACACTTGCCTAATCAAATGATTTCAAGATCATTTTCTCATGTTCCTTATTAAAGACGTTACATCACATTATAGGTTTAATTGAAACTTCGTTTACAAGACTCACTATCTGATTTTTCTTGTATTTTTACAGGTCGTCGTTTTTCTTGTGACTATTGTGAATACAGCGCGACCACATCTTCTAATCTTCGTCGTCATGCTCGTATACACGCTGGGGCTAGGCCATATTTGTGCCCTCATTGTCCTCACCGTACTAGCGAACTAGATGCTTTAAAAAAGCATGTTCTAGACTCTGGTAGGCATCCGGGTCTACCTCTTTATGTGTGTCCGTGGTGTCGATCGGAGTCCAGCACAGTCTGCGTTGGTTTTAATGCTTCAAGTCTCGCGTGGCGACATCTGCTCAGTGAGCATTCAAGTGAGATTATGAAGCCAGAAACACTGAGTCGAATCGGTCGAGTATCTGAAAAATCGCTTTCGGAGGTAAGAACATGTGAATCTTTATTTTTGCGACAGAATAGTGATCTGTCATGGAAATGTTCATTCTTCTTCATTTAAGTTGCCATAGCAACCAACCTTACTAGTATCGACATATATTTTAAGCCTCATACAATATGAGTAATTTTCTATGGTCTTCACATCATTATTTTCAAAAATAGGAAGCGTACATATACCATTAGCCATTAGTAACCGGATAGTGTGGCCTTCATGGATTATATTAACAAAACTCGACCGTTGCTGCTACCTTGACGTGGTGGTCGGGCTTGCCTATCGTGATGAATCAATCGAGCTATACTGGCTGGAACAATCGTCCCTCAAGGTCCTACCATGCCAGGCAGGTCGTTTGAAGAGCGGTGAGACTAAAAGCAGCAAACCCAAGGTCCGAAGGCGAAGTCGTACTACTGACTGTACAGAGGTGTGACGGCAGTAAGGTGTTTCCTTCAGACAACCAGCATGACAGCGATGCTGCCTTCCCACAAGGAGGGGTGGGGTTAGAAAAGGTCGACCCTAAAATGCACACATCGCCTTACCCCACGGATATCCGTCTCCAGCGGTAAGGTCCTTTGAAGAACGGAGCTAACACAAAAACTACCCACAAAAAGGTCGTGTGTGACCGACCTCAAGCAGTTGTCCCTTGGGCACTGCGGTCACGCTCTCAGGTCATTAAGACCACTTCTAACCCAATTTCCTTTTCAGGTACCCCCAGAAGAACCCTTCCACGGTGTGGGCAACCGGGAAGTGATAACTGCCCTCATACCTCTAACAGCACTCAAGACCACTGTATTCATAATCAATCTCCCTCAATTTCTTCTATTCCTTCTACCTTGACTTTCAACACTAGACTTCCTCTTTCGGATTCCTCCTCAAGTGTCACCATGGCCAACGATTCTAGTACGCGAAACGCTGTCCCAGGTTATACTAAAACCTCGCTCCAAACTACACATTGGAGCCTTCAACGTACGTACTTTAAGTCAAATCGGTCAACAGGCCTCCTTAGCTAAAACCATAGAATCTCGTGCCATTGATGTATGCTGTGTCTCCGAAACACGCATACAGGATCCCAGTGTGGTCATTCACTTGACCTTACCTCGCCAAAATGGACAGCCAACGAAATACACCCTCCGTGTATCTGGCGACCCGTTGGCTAGTTCTCGTGGACTTGCAGGTGTAGGCATAGCACTAATTACAAGGGCAGAACAGGCACTACTAGAATGGATCCCCGTTAACAGTCGCCTGTGTGCTGTCCGGTTAAATGGCTCCGTAAGAAATCGGAAGGATAGGGACACACGTCGTTGCCTTTTCGTCGTTTCTGCCTACGCTCCTACTGACTGCAGCCATGATGAAGTGAAAGATGACTTTTACAGAAAGCTCTCTGAGCTTCTTCAGAAAGCTAAGCGCTCAGACATAGTAGTCGTAGCGGGTGACTTTAATACCCAGGTAGGCAGCTTAAATCAAACAGAAAGACATTTAGGTGGGTGTTTTAGTATTCCGGCTCAACGAACCGATGATGGTGATCGTCTGTTGCAACAATCGTTTATTTTTAGCAAGCACTAATTTTAAGCATTAGGAGAGACATCGTCTAACATGGCGATCACCTGCACCAAACCTACGATGGACTCAAATAGACCATATTGTCATCAGTCATCGTTGGAGAGGCTCAATAGAAGATTGTCGCTCGTATTGGAATACTTGTTTAGACTCTGATCACGCTTTACTACGAGCGCGCATTTGTCTGCGCCTCAATGGACGCAGGAAAAGTACACTAAGAAGACCCATTAGGATTAAACTGGAGGACGAGAAAGCCAAATGCGAATTCCAGAAACAACTGAGTTCACATCTAGGCAGTTCCGTAAACGAGACTGACCCAGATGCTGCTTGGAAAGACATACGAACAGCTGTGGAAACAGCAGTAACATCTATTAGTTATTTAAACCATAGGGTTCCAAAAAACCATTGGATTTCTTCTAAGTCTATTTCACTGATGGATTCGCGTAAACTCATCCCATCAGGCTCTGAACATGACGAAGAGCGAAAGAAAATCAGATCTAGGTTAACTAAAAGCCTAAGGAACGATCATGAGCAATAGTGGGCAACGAAAGCAAAAGAGATGGAAAAGGCAGCGGCTGTAGGCAACACCAGGCAACTCTTCAGACTAATAAAAGAAACCGGAATGAAGAAGTTAAGTGTAAGCGAGACAATCTCGGAAGAAGACGGAACTCTTATCTGCTCTCAACCCAAACGTTTAGAACGATGGGCGGAACACTTTAAGGAGCAGTTTAGCTGACCTTCAGATACTGCACAACTACCCACTATTCCCAGAAAACCTGAATGGAACATTGAAGTAGGCCCCCGATCCTACTTGAAGTTCAAAAGGCTATAAATAATCTGAAACGAGGAAGAGCAGCTGGTCCAGATGGATTAGCTCCAGAGGTCTTTAAATATGGTGGTCCAATTTTAGCCATCAGGTTGACTAATATTCTGGCTAAAATCTGGGAGACGAACGTAATCCCATCTGACTGGTCACAATCTCTGATTGTCCCAATATATAAGAAGAGGCCAAAATCATCCTGCGATAACCATAGAGGGATTAGTCTGACTAACATAGCATCTAAAATACTAGCCTCAATAATTACCAGGCGCCTAACTAAGACTCGTGAACTGCAAACACGAGAAAATCAGACTGGCTTCAGACCTGGTCGTGGCTGTATCGACCACATATTCACCATTCGTCAAGTTTTAGAGCACAGATATGTTTATCAGCGTTCGACAATGATAGTTTTTCTTGACTTGAAAGCAGCATTTGACTCTGTAGACTGAGAGGTTCTGTGGCAGTGTCTGTCATTAAAAGGTGTACCTGAGAAGTACATAAACCTTGTGAAGGCTCTTTACTCGAACACTACCAGTCGAGTGAGAGCTTATGGCGAACTGTCATATGACTTTACAACCTCGAATGGTGTCCGTCAAGGCTGTTCACTATCCCCATTTTTGTTTAACTTCATTATAGACCTGTTGCTGGAAATAACACTTGTCGACTGAATTTTCAGGAATTGATTTTCTACCAGGAGGTCCACTTATCGACTTAGAATACGCAGATGACATAGTCCTGTTTGGTGAAGACGCTGACAAAATGCAGAGTCCTTTGGTAGTACTGAGTAACAATGCCAGGATGTTTGGGATGCGTTTCTCCCCATTTAAATGTAAATTGTTACTCCAGGACTGGCCTGCGTCAACACCTGAACTAAGGATAGGGAGTGAAGTAGTCGAACTCGTCGACAACTTCACTTACCTTGGAAGTCTGATCAGCCCTAATGGGTTGGTGTCTGACGAAATCTCAACACGGATTCAAAAAGCTCGTTTGGCATTTGCCAACTTACGTCACTTATGGCGAAGACGAGATATCCGTCTATCAATTAAGGGACGAGTATACTGCGCAGCAGTTCGCTCTGTTCTACTTTACGGCTGCGAAACATGGCCATTAAGAGTAGAGGATACTCGTAAGTTACTAGTATTTGACGACATATGCCTTAGAAATATTGCTCGCATCTGCTGGGATCACCGGATAAGTAATAGTGAGGTTAGACGCAGGGTATTAGGGAATGATGGTAAATCAGTTGATGAGGTGATGAATCTTCATCGACTGAGATGGTTGGACCATGTGTTACGTATGCCACAATGCGCAATTCTGACTAGTGTAGGGGATGGTTGGAAGACAGTTAGGGGCGGCCAAACCAAAACGTGGCATGAGTGCTTAAAGTCACCAACTTCTAGTCTGAGCCATGTTGGCAGATGCAGACTACCTGGTTGGGGTCCGCGTGACTATCGTAACCAATGGTTGGAGACTCTGGGTGACATGGCTCAGAATCGATCACAATGGTGTAGGTGTATACACTCTTTGTCTTTACTTAAACCGTGAGATTAAAATTGCTTCATATCTGCCTTCCTATACTATTAACAAAATTAGAGATTCTTTGAATACTGTTGCAGTAAACGAATACTGAGGTACGGTAAATCAGTTTATTGTTTCACGCGAATTCAAACAGTAGCTTTGTAGCATTACATCATTTGCTTATCTCCTTTAATTTATCCTTTCCACACTTCATCATTCTTCCGATTCTGTTGCTCTTCGTTTTTTTCCTCATTTCATTTCACTCCTGCTGGTAAACATTCTAATCCGATTCCTACTACATAGTACTTATCTGTCCGCATAAGTAATGAACATTGTAAAGGTTTAATCCTCTATATCTGACTACAATAAATAGTATCCCGTTAACTGAGTATTCACGCAGGCTAAATTCTCTATTAGTATTATGAATTTACTCGAGATTATTCACAAGTCAGAACACCAGTTGTAGAGATAGTTTATCGTTAACGATTGGTAAAGATCCGCAAGCGCTAAGAAAGCAAGCATACAGGAAAACCAGTGTGTTAGTAGTATGAGTTAGTAGTGTGATTGTTAAAAGTCCATGTATATTTATGAGCGTTAATCAACTGTGGATAAATTATTGATTGTCTGAGTTAACAACCAATGGGAGAATAGATAAATATTGATGTGCGCTCAATCAGACTCACATCGTCTTCTAATTACTGTATACTTAAGTAGGGCATCCGTTGATCGTGAGGTTCTATGGCAGTGTTTGTCACTGAAAGGAGTACCAAAGAAGTACATTAACCTCATAAAGGCTCTCTACTCGAACACAACTGGTCGAGTTAGAGCCTATGGCGAACTATCATCAGAACTGATTACCACAAGTGGCGTTCGTCAGGACTGTCCATTCTCCCCATTCTTGTTTAACTTTGTCATTGACATACTTTTAGAAATAGCACTTTCATCAGCTAAACCTCCAGGAGTTGAACTTTTACCGGGAGATTCACTTGTTGACTTAGAATACGCCGACGACATAGTTTTACTCGGTGAAGACGCTGACAACATGCAGAGTCTTCTGACCACTATAAGCAACTATGCAGGCATGTTCGGGATGCGATTCTCTCCCTGGAAGTGCAAAATGTTACTTCAGGATTGGGTTGCAGCGACACCTGAACTAATGATAGGGAGTGAAGTAGTTGAGCGTGTAGACCACTTCACTTATCTTGGGAGTCTCATCAGCCCTTGTGGTCTGGTATGTGACGAAATCTCAGCACGGATACAGAAGGCTCGTCTAGCTTTCGCCAACTTGCGTCATTTATGGAGTAGGCGAGATATCCGTCTAGCAACCAAAGGACGGGTTTACTGTGCAGCAGTTCGCTCCGTCCTACTTTATGGCAGTGAAACATGGCCAATAAGAGTAGAGGATATTCGTAGGCTACTAGTGTTCGATCATAGATGTCTTCGTAGCATTGCTCGTATATCCTGGGACCACGATTAAGTAATGCAGTTGTTAGGAAACGAGTGCTAGGTAGGGATGGCAAGTCGATTGATGAAGTAGTGAAACTTCATCAGTTGAGATGGCTGGGACATGTGTTACGTATGCCCAACCACCGACTGCCCCGACGTGCAATGTTTCATGGTGTATGAGTAGGTTGGAAGAAAGCTAGGAGTGGCCAGACCAAAACGGCACAAATCAATGAAGTCACTGACAAGTGGACTGGGCCATGTTGGTAGGTGTGGACTATCTGGTTGGGATTCGCGAGATGATAGCAACCGATGGTTAGAGACCTTGAATGACATGGCTCAAAATCGTTTGCAATGGCGAAGGTGCATCCGCTCTTTGTGTTCTACCAAATTCTAATCTTCTGAATTCCTCATGTCTTTATCTTTTTATCTTTCCAAATTTATTTCACTGTACTATACTCCTTCAATAATTTCTTCAAACCCTAATCTTTTGGATTTCTGATTATACTCCTACTACTTTTACCACTATGGGATTTGAATCGACACCTGCATCTCTATGCTAATGTGGTATGGCAAATCGGACTGATGTACGTACGTACGAAGTTCTACGTTGTGACTGACTTAGGGCATCTTTTTAATTTAGTCTATAATTGAATTTTCTGTATGTACCATAAACATACCAGCTAGTTGTGGTCTTGAGTGTTAACTTATAGCTATTCCATCAACTTGTCGGAGTACTCGCCCTCATAAGTGAATTGCTCATTGTCAGAAAATTCACATCAAAGGGGAAATTGTCTGACTTTTTTATGAATAACAATTAAGTTATCAATCAATTCATGTGAATCATAAAATACTTACGCAAACCAGTTTCACATATTAATGTCTTAACAACTTAATGTATGATCAGAGTGTTCGAAACTTACTTCGCCACTATTTCATAAAGTTCTAATAAACTTCGTCTTATTTCATATATAAGAACTCTCGTCTAAATTAGAGCGAATAGTTTCACAGTATTTGTATTTAATGTCTTCGTCTTATTTCGTTATCCAAATTTACCAAAGGGACTAGTTCGTTTCGACTTTTAAATCTGTTGTAACTATAGCTTTCCAATAATATTTTCATGCACACACCTATTGATTTGTTTGTTTGTAACATTTAATTTGCAGCGTGATGTCACTCGTCTTTTGGGTATATATTGTCCAGAAATCGATTCAACCCAACCACCAGAGAACATTGCTGTTAGGCAACCATCTGTTACTAGCCGCCGTAAAAACCAAAAGATAGAAACTCTCGGTAGACCACATCTTTCTGGAGAAAATGAATTAGCGATTATAGAAGCCAAAGAGTCGAATTCAGCGGAAAATATAAACCCCGTTGAGGAGGATAAGATTAGATGTGAGGCTAAGAAATGATCCCAGTTTATTCACAAGTCTTATTATTTAACTTTAATTGATGATGTTTATGGAAATTCATTACTTAAAATTTATAATCCTCGATGACCAAATATTAATTGAAGAATCATTGAAAATTATGAGGGTATAGATTATTTCAGTGTGATATCTTGTTGTAACTCTTCAGAGGTATATATATACTCAACGTCCAAGTTTCTAAAGTAATATCTTACCATTTAAGCCACCAGTGGATATTAATTATCGAGTTTAGGTAAATTGTACTTTAATTTGATTATCCTCCGTTGTTGTTAGCTATATCTATACTCCTTGTTATGGCCGGTTAAGTTCTACTTCATACTAGGTAACTGACTAATCAAGAACTTAGTAGCAAGTGAACCAAGTATATCCTGATCAAAATTACAGCACATTACATTAGCATACTAAACAACTATCAGCTAGACTAAGGATGTACGGTGATACCAATCATAGTAAAAAGATTAGAAAAGAATAAGATCAAGTAGTGTACCGATTTAAAGGTTGCTGAAATGTGAATTTATCTGAGCTAGCGCAGTGAACACTAAGCTTTGTTAGTTGAAATTGGCAAGCATTAAGCACTGGTTATCATTAGGAAAGCCAGTAGTCACTAACTTTATAGACAGGTGGTTATTAGTGGTCGGCACTTAATCAGGATATTGTGAAGGTTATTTCTTCACGGACGGTCATCAACCAAAAATTCATGGGCCACTGGACCATTGTTTTCTCTGGATCATAATTCATTTTTAGTTTCTGTCAATTCTCGATGTGACACAATCATCATGCATTCTCATCTTCGATAACTATTTCCTTAAATTACCAATGGTTGCTTGGGAAATATGTTTTATTTGGATTGTTCTTTTGTGTTTTGCCTACATATTCAGCGCCCTGATATAACTAGACTATATATTTGTCTTACAGATGACATTTTCAACCCACTCCTTTAATTGAAATTTCTTGATAGATACTGAGTTGTTAGTAATTTTTCTTACATAGTTTAAACTCTCTTGACATATAAAAAAAAGGTGGTCGTGTGGCACGCAGAATTTCTTATCACGCTATTCACTTATTTTTCTCGTAGAGTGATTACGATCATCATACATGAACTTACCCTCACTACCAACTCATAATTTTCTCGTCAATTTTTATACTCTAAAGTATATATGTATATAATAAGAGGTCAAAGTGTAGTGAATAACAACACGAGTGGGGACAATCGAATGTATTTAGGCACAAAATTACAGAACGTCTCAGTAAAATCTGACAACCATACAGTAAATAGTTAATTTGCAAAACTATCAATCAGTTGTCTCAATCTTGACTGTTCCTCCTAAAAATATCAGTCCATCGTCTCTGATTATTATTGTTTATGCATTTTCATACCGATTGCGTCCCGTTCTCTTCTCATCAATCTACTGAAATACACTCAATGCCCGACCATCGTTATATACTACTTGTGTGGATATAAGTGGCCCACACCACAAAAGTATTTCCGGTTGTTTCACGTAGCTCTGCGAAATTACATCTGCGCTGGAGTTCGAGAGTGGTTCTGAATGAGCATCTCTCTGGAATCCGAAAGGCCGGCTTATATCTCCCTAACTCTGGTTGTTAACGATTATTAAACCGTCACCAAGTTTTCAGTCACTTTCCTAATTTCGCAAATTCCCAGTAAATTACATATTGTGTTGATTCCCATCCCTCTGTTTTATCCAATCAGTAAGTTTTGGGTTAAATGTGTATTTGATCCCAGTTGCCATCACAACAGAATTATCCATACATTAACACTTACCTTTTTCCGTATAGTCTGTTCTGTAACTAAAACCACTTTTGTAGAACGAAGTATTATCTAAGTCACTGGTCGTTTATATAAATCACTTGAAAAACTTATTTTTATTATGAAACTCCTGTTTTAGAATTGGCTTTATCTATAGTAATTGCTTAACTTTACTTCTTATCTTCAGCTTCCCCAATCCCTTTAAATAATCAGAAAAATGACGCTAATGATGATCTATTATTTTACAATCTCATCCAAATTGGTTCAGGGGCGATTTGGTCACGTAATACGACACAGTATATTGTAAATAATTTATAATATGGAATTTAAATGATATCATAGTTTTTTTTATTTTTCTCACTGGACCAGATTTATATGTAATATCAATCTTGCTCGATACATTCTGTGTAGTTTATACTAACTCTGTAATCCTACTTTACGACGTACGCAACAAGTCACAACTCATAAAAAAATTGGTTATATATGAACATTTGGATATCATCTAAACTGAAATATACTAGGTTTTTACTAAGTAATTCATAAGCTGAATCGTTACTATCATCTACACACAGAACAATGTTTTATACTGTCCTTACTGAAAATCAGATTACAATTACAGCAGGGAAGTTTTCTAATAGTTTTTGGGTAAATGGATATTTTCAGCGTTTATTCTAACAAATGAATAACAATTAAAAGTAATTCAGACCTTCTATGTTAACGACCATAAAGAACTCGATATGTATAGAACAAAGTCAAAGAAGAAGGTATATCAAGTAGACTAGGATATTTGATAAGGCAATATAACTGTAGTCATAAAATTACATATAAGCAAGCACGCTTATTATTTTTTTATTGATCTTAGTATATATAATTAGGATTTTATGAGATCTTAGACTGCATATTTAACGAGAAGATTGTCAATGTACTTATGCGTAGGTAAAAATATATAATGAGACAATAACCAGCTCACTTGTGCTCGCAAAAAGACAGTCTGTTTATGATGTCTGTAACCAATCGGCTCACAGTCAACCTTATTGTATATAAGGTTGAACAAACTGTCTATCTGATCAGACAAAAATGGTTACCTAGTATTTATCTGCTAGCGGTTCTTTAAGAAAGGAAACATTAGTGTTACTAGGATGAACAAACTATTAAGTAAAACATGAAATAGGTGGTCTTGGTAATATGGCAAGAAAGCTCCCCGTTGTAAGGCTTGTAGTTTTTATCAGCGGTTAATCGTTGTATGCCCTTCAGTCGAATGGGTTGTCTTAGTGTATAGAAATACCCGGAAGGTGTGCTTAATTGAGATTTCTCGTCATAAGTCACTGTTTCCAAGACTTGTAGATGTCGTTTGAGTCAGTAATTTAGTTTGATCATAAGTTTTGAAAAGTGTGGATGTTTACACTAACCTCTCAAATTATTGTATATTCCCATAAATGTCTAATGTAGACTATTTAGTTCAAGTTAACATTGAGTCTGAGGCACATTAGGTTTATTATGGCATCTTGTTAGTCTACTTTATACATCGTTAATTAGTTAGGTCATTTATCAGTAATTCAGAAAATAGTAATTTCTGATACCAAACTTCTATAATTTCCAAGTTACTATTTAAATGAACATTTTGTCACTGTGATACCCATCGCAGGTTGTAGTGTTTGTAATCAGCAGTGACAATAGACAACCGTTGTTGATGCTCCTTCGAAACATGAGTTCTTCGCAATTATGATACTTAGGGTTATCAGCAGTATAACCTTAACTCCAATTAACTGTTTTTTCGTTGGGGTTCTATACATGTCAGTTTCGTACAACTATATACCCATGTGGTTTACTATAAGACCAGAACAACCACATGACTATTAGGTACATTGATTCAATTCATTTGGTTTCCTCGTATCCATTTATGACTGATTCTAAACCCTTGTCTGTTTAAATTACTACAGAACTGTCTGTCTTGTATTGATACAATGTTTGTGTACAACAATAAGAAGTACACTGTACATTACTGCTAAGTGCATAATTCGGGTCGGCTTGAGTTTTGGTTTCTTTGTGACCACCAGCGTTTTTATTAAACACTTTTGGGAATCTCTAGTCAATATGTTGAATACAATTATACTGCTTATCACAATTATCTCTGGGTTATTCATATATGAAATCTATTGGTCACTAGGCACTTTGATTTTCCGTACTTCAGATTATTTCAGTCCAGTTCAATTCCCAATCCATTAATCCCCACAAAAACGTGTCATGTGAACTCAAATTTTTACTATGTCCAGTACCGTCAACGTAGCACTTAATCAAAGTATATACCATGTGTTTGGCGGCCGACTGATTGTTTTCTGTTTGAATTTGTAGTTAACTGAGGTTTTACTTCAGCTTGCTATTAGTTGTTTACAGTTTTTCACGATGACTCAGCTTATTGCATGATTTCCGTTTGCTTTGCGTTGTTACTCAGTGTGTTGCTGTTCCTTTAGTAAACATATAAAATGCACTTACATTTAATAACGATAGCAATTGACAACAATCTGTTGTAAAACAAGCTTGAGATTAAGACTATCTGATAATCGAAATGAATGCTGGTACAGTGAAGTTTCGACAGGCAATGCAAACCAAGTGCCGACATCACTGTTGCTGTATTAGAACCTTGCAGTACACATAGGCTGGCATTTATATCCACTAAACCAACACGTCTCCTGGTTCAGGTTTTCCAAACAGAATAATGGTCCCTCTGAAGACTTCCGAATATAACAACTGGGTCCTCATTGATAGGAGTAAGGGAGATTGAAGGTCAACTCTGAAAGGACACACTATCTATTATCTCAATGCTAAAATTCCAATAAATATTTGGTTGTAAGCAGCTGACGAGAAACCACGAAATATAATGAGTTCATATCATTCCGCATCAATATTTGTTCTAGCTTTAATTAAATTCATGACACAATAAAATCAAGTTCCAATCATTCATTCCACTTTTTTTTCAAAAAAAAAGACAATGGTACTCTTTCTTGCTCAGTTTCTTTGACGTAGCTTACATTGACTTCAGCGAAGCTTTCAACAAAGTTCCTCACAACCGACTGTTATATTAGTTAAAAAGTGTCGGGGTCGGAGTCAATCTATTATTGTGAATAAACGACTTCCTAGTTGGGCGCCAACAAGGAGTACGGGTGAACTCAAAGCTGTCTAGCTGGGAAGCCGTGCTAAGTGGAGTGCCTCGGGGTGCAGCTTTTGATTCAGTGTTGTTCCTCTTGTTCGTAAATGACCTTCCTGGTCTCTTATCACCGGCTTTGTTACACACTGACGATGTCAATATGTGCACAACAATAAAAAGTAGTGGTGGTAGTTCAAGGTCTCAAAAAAACTTGGATAAATTATCGAAATGGTCTCCAACCTGGCAGTTGCCAATAGACATTTCAAAGTGTATTGCGATGCATATTGGTTATCAACGTACAGATACGTGCATGATGAATAACATTGAGCTACCTGTTGTTCAGACACACAATGACTTGGGAGTCATCGGTAGCCAGGACTGAAGAACTACTGGACATTGCCGTGCACTAGCCACCGAAAGTTCTGGGACTTTATGGTCAATACGTAGGGCCTTAAGCCATTTCGGCGCTATAAATTTCTTGCGTTTGTACGCAGTATTCGTGCATCCTAAACTTGAGATCTGCATACAAGCGGCTAGCTACTGCTTAAAGAAGGATAGTGAGCTTTTAGAGAAGATTCAGAGAACAGCAACTAAACTGATTCCTGGAATGGCGAAGCTCCCGTATCATGCTCAACTTGCTAAACTAAACCTATTTCGATTGTCACATCGAAGAACTGGAGGTGACTTAATTACGGTTTTCAAAGTGCTTAGTGACAAATTTACATCTGATATGCCCTCATTTTCCTTGTCTTCCAAAACAGAGAATTTACAGAACACTTCAAAAAAGTTCACAAACCCAGAACAAATTACTTGTCAGCTAACTATTGACGTACTCATTGAATCATCAACGAACGGGATTTATCAAACCTATCTGTCAAATCTTTCAAAGGAAATTGAATCAACTGAAAGATCATCGACGCCAGTACTAACACAGGCCATCTAGCCTCCTTTTTTTCCAGTGTGAGACTGTGATGTAAAGAATAAGAAATAGGATCGATAGGGACTCTGGTAGAAAAGTGTGGTTGTTCGTATTTTGCGTTAAGCATTTTTTGTACTAAAGTATGATACAGAGAAGCGTAAATGACGAGGACAAGAAATGGGGAGAAAACAAAAAGAGGGTCTAACAGTTAGCAGCCCCACGCTATCCCCTTACAATTGCAAACGGAGTAACATAAGCCTTTTGTAAACAATCTTGTGGTCGAAACTAGTAGCAGATATTTAAACTCGCTAGGTATGTAACGATTTGCTTATGAGCTCATTGAGAAGTAGCAAGTCGCAATTTAGGTAAAAAAGATATCGTTTATATATTTAGTTACAAAACGTTACAATTAGATCTAGGAAACCCACTTACTATAGTACGATGTCCGACCAACAACTAGCTATTAAAAAAACTCTAAACAACGATAACAAGAGTGAGTTTATACGAATATTCGTCAATATTAGAACGAATGGTTTGACAAAAATTAAGCGCCGAGTATAGAGAAACTATCACAAGTGAAAATTATATTTGAAATAATCTCAGAGGTTCAAATTTAAATAATTCCAACGTTTCTTCCAGCAAGCCTGCCTAGACTTCTTCAGGGTAATAATAAAAATGAAAATTATCAGAGAAAAATATGGCGTTTAAGATTCAATCGAATCAAATCTATACTGTGTTAATTCAATCATGTTCAGATATTGACTTTAGTATATAGGATAGCGTGAGTCGGTTAAGTGCGAATCATGTTAAAAGTTCACAATGCGAAAACAAATGACTGAGTGCATTGTGTTTATGTATGTGTAAGATTGAGTTATTAATAGTTGATATTAGGCGTTCAATTTATTATATGAAGAAAGAATAAAAGTGAAGGTTGAAGAATTGTTTCTGAACCACCTTTGTGAATGTAAATTGAGAATCACCAAATAGACAATTGTATTGCTAAAATAACCCACATTAATTCCAGTCAGAATAATAATGCATGTGTAAAGAACAGGTTGGATCAAAAATGGGTCCAATTACTTTTTAACATATATTTACCAGTTAGTTGTCAATCGGAAACCAATCTTTCTGTTCAGGCTGTTCTTATTCGCTCATACATACAGCGCTTCTGCAGTCAATCTTATTTGTGCGTGTCATTACCTTTCTGAATTATTCTGGTCTCTTCACATCTGATCTTGTGTCCTGTTTCTTACTCATTTAACGTTATCGACGATCTATTCTCAGGTTTCTTCAGACCAACTGAGAATTCTGGAACATTCTTCGAACATTGTTT